ATTTCCTGCCTGAGCAGGGGGTTGGACTAGATGACCTCCAAGGTCCCTTCCAACTTTACTATTATTTATATTATTATTATTATTATTATTATTATTATTATTATTATTATTATTATTATTATTATTATTATTATTATTATTATTATTATTATTATTATTATTATTTTAAAGCAAGTTCTAATTCAGCAGTTGGACATTGGGACTTTATTGATAATACCTTTTTGCAGTGCCATGATTAGTGGTTAAGTAAGGCAATACATATCCTGTCTGTCCACAGGGTTGCTATACAGTTGCAGGATTTGGTATCAATTGTGGAATTCACCACCTACATCAATCTTTCCCAACTTAGTGACCTCTACATGTAACTTCTGCTTCCTTGAAGTTACTCTAATGTATCCAAAGGGTAGCAGGTTGGAGAATGAATTACATTACTGTAATTCTAAAAGAATAACTTGAAAAACTCTAGTTTGATGAATTATACAGATATCCAATAAAAGGAGAATAGTTGTAGTTCAGGGTTAAAAAGAGTGGTCCTTGGTGTTCTCTGAGCTTGGTTGTTTTCTTGCAGATGTTTCATTACCCTAACTAGGTAACATCACCAGTGCTAGTATATCCAGTTCAGGAACATTCTGATGACACCTTTCATTGTGAAAGCCATGACGCTTTAGGTTTAAATCAATATTCTCCATGAAGTCCATTGGTTTCACATTGTGCTTTTGTCTTCCATTTTTTCAAAAGCATTTTGGAGAGATGACCGTCACATACTCCAGTAAAGTTGCAAATGCTACCTTCTTTGGGTTCCACAGGCTACTTCTCAAATGGAAAGGAAGCATCTACAAACTGCTTTACCGAGAATTTATTCTCTTTGCCTGTCTTTACACAGCGATAAGTATATTGTATAGGTACAACTTTTTTCACCTTCTACAATGCTCTGTCTGCCCGACCCTTGTAGGAGAATGTATGATACTATATTAAACAAGTGGGACGTGAAGTGTTGCAGTGTGGTTCTTGGGGGATTCTAGCCAGCCACACACGTCTTCTATTTCTTTTCCCCAATTTTCTGTATCTCTTCCCCATCCAGTTAAGTACTCAGGAATTTATGGTATGTTTAGTCCTAATAGAAATATTTTATAGATTCTTCCTTTAGAACACGGATGTCCAATCTTTTGCCTTACCTGGGCCACATTAAGTGAAGACAATTTGTCTTGGGTTGCCAAAATATATAATATATATGTATATGTATATAAATAGCAATTCCTTTATTTCTCATATTTTTAGTTATACTTTGTAGGGTCGTTTTACTAGCTGTCTAGGGCTGCATGCAACCTGCAGGCAACAGGTTGGACATGCCTGCTTTAGAAACTTTTCCTATTGTTTTAATGTTTTTTTGTACCTTTGCAAGACTTGATGTTTCCCCATATTTGCCAATGTTTCTCTCTTATACATCTAGGGTACCATTTTGACTACACAAACACTGGAAATTGGAAAATGAAATTGTTGTTGGTATATATAATTATGCAGAAATCATAACTATTCAAGAAGGTTTTGTTTTAAAAAGCTGTGTTGAAATTTATGGAAGCTGCAGAAAAGCACTGCTTTTCATGCTTGCTTTTTGCCGTTTTCAAACATCTTGTTTGATTGTTTTGCAATTAAAACAAAGAATTTAGTCAATTCACTAAAATGACTGTATGGAATTTTTGAATTAGAATCAAATGTGTTGTAAAACATAGTTACATTTACTAAAACAATATGTTTTAGTATTTTATGATGTTTTCATAAAACACTAAAATAGTATAATGTTTCATAATAGTATTTTGACAGAGAAGGCAAGTGCCAAACAAAATTAGTGCCTTTATCATTGAAGGAAAAGAATCAAGAAATGACAACCTTAAGTTGATTGTCTCTGAAGGATGTCATATGACGATTGTTATTTCACGGAGATATAAATTTACAATGAGCAGCTCCAGTGACTGTGATATGAGAAAATACAGCTCAGCTTCAAATTCTAATAGAATGTCATCTCTCGGTGGAATTGCAGTTTGAAGCAAAACTAAATTTGGAAGTGTTTATTTTGCAAGATTTCCTTTTGCTACAATTACTAATATAATCCATTATAGTCAGATCTAGGTCTGATATAGCTTTATAATTTGTAGCTATTACAACCTCCAATTGAACTTCCAGTGAAATCTCTCACAGTAGAATCTCTCACTCAGTGGCGGAATTCAGCCAGTTCGCACCACTTCGGCAGAACCGGTAGCTAATTTTTTGTTGCCCAGGTCCAGAATGGATTTCCAGAATCGGCATCCACACAGAGAACCAGTTGTTCACATATTTGAATCCCACCACTGCTCTCACTGCCTTCCTTCTGTTATGATCCAATGTACAATCTAATGCTGAGTGCTCTGGGATGCTTATCTTTGTTTTTAATTTGTATTTATTTAGTCTCTATATCAAAAGTCCCTGTCTTTTTTGTCACAGATTTTTCCTTTCAGGAACCCAGAAACGGTACTTTGAGAAATTGTCCATTTACTGTGACAAATATGCAGAACAAATTCCAGTCACTTTTGTTTTGGGTAAGCTTATATTCCATTTCATGCAGAGCAGGGGTGGAAACATTTGCAAGGGTACATTACAGAAATGTAAAACCTAAAAAATACTGTACAGTTGTTGCAACCTGTCCCAATTCCTAAGGATTTGAGGTGGTATGCAAATATAAAATCATATTGCACAATTAAATAAAATTCCAATTGAATTCCTCTAATTGGTGCTACCACACAATAATTTATTGGCTTAACTTGGTGTTTTTTTTAAAAGAAAACTCTGGAAGATCAATAAAATCCCCTTCCCCATTTTATGTGGCAATTGATCCAGCCTTACTTTGTGACTGATTAACCCATCTGCTGCAGCTTCCCTCAAATCTTAAAAATGACTCACACCTGATTTAGGAGATCCTTCCCTACCCTGTTGCTTTCCAGATCTCTTGGAGCTACAATTCCCAGTGTAGCCATAGTTGGAGAGTGCTATATAAACAAAGGTTGAGTTGGGATTTCATCAATGTGTTTGGAGCAGGGATGGATGAAAAAAAAGAGTCTACTGACAGATATCAAGGGAATTACTAAAAGAGTATATATAGAGTTTACTTATGCATAATATTAAAAGATCTTCTGTTGGGTATATAACAAGAAATTTGAATAAGGATTTTTGAACTCTCCAGGGTTTTATGTTACTTTGGTGGTGAACCGCTGGTGGAACCAATTTGTAAATCTGCCATGGCCAGACAGAATTATGTTCTTGATCTCCAGCACTGTTCAGGGAAGAGATGAGTATGGCCGATTACTCAGGAGAACTCTAATGCGTTATGTGAATTTAACATCTCTCCTCATCTTTCGATCAGTGAGCACAGCTGTCTACAAAAGATTTCCAACTTTAGAACATGTGGTAGAAGGAGGTACTGTTCACTCATTTTCATCCTGTCTTTGCCAGTGAAACAGTTATTTGGGGTGGTGCTTATGTAGAGCCACTGTAATCACACTTAATATGCCTTTACTGCATTGGAAGAAACAAGTAGCGATGAAGCTATTATGTTTTATGTTTTTATGATTGCTGTAAGCTGCCCATTCTGCTTAAGATGGGTGGCCATATAAATCTTTTAAATAAATAAATATTGCTATAATTTAATATGATCTTATACTTTACTACAGTTTCTCCAGTCCAGGATTCTCTAAAACATTTGATTGTAACATCCATCATCTTTAGCCATCACAGTACTGTCTGTCACTGGGAGAGAGGATAGAAATTTAAAATTGCAATGCATATATATTTTTTCTGCAAACAGGAAACATGCTGGGTGGGTGCTACTAATTTAAACAAAGCAAAACAAAATATAAAAACTTCCCCAGCGCTGCGATAAAAAATTCAGAATCTACCAGCACTTCAATTTTATTGTTTTGTTTTGTTCTGTTTTTTAATGCTGCTGTATATCTCCTGCATGTCTAACTTATCTATTGAATTTGACTAACATAGATGTATCTATGAGTTCTGTAGGAGTTAATCCAGTTTAATGTACATACAGCTGTAGCCTCTAGCAAACTTTTTCCCAGCACTTGGCTTCATTATTTAGGAATAATTGATTTCTTAAATCACAATATTCTTCAAATATCATTCTGACATCTGAAACATCTGAATTATGAAATTACCAAAAAGAGGTATAATCTTTCTCCAGATAAATGGTCAACCATTTTTTTTTCAATATATCAACATTCTGGAAAAAAAATTCCATGCTAGAGATTAATCTGGAAACAGGCTAAAAATAAAACTGCCAATGTTGCAATGCTCTAATACAAATCTTTACTATATTTCCATCTAGAATAGTGCATACAATTTAGTCACTACATTTTTTAAAAAGATAAAACAGAATTGGGGGAAAATGTGGAATGGGCAGCAGATAGATTCCAAGTGCGAAAATATTAGATTTTTGGAATTCTTTACATGGAAAGAAGGTGACATAAGGAGGACAGGATTGAAATACCTAAAATCCTGCTTGGCAAGGAGAAAGTGGGCAGGAAAAAAAATTCCTCTTTCTCTCAAAACAGTAGGACCAAATTCATCAATGAATCTGATTGGAAGAAGCTTCTGAATAAATGAAAAGAAGTTACTGCTTCATATAATGGATAGTTTTAGCTGTGAGATTTGGTATCACAAGATATGATGATGGTGACTGACTTGGATGACATTCATGGAGGAGAGGTCTATTAAGCACTATTAATGTAGACTATATAGTGTTATTTCTACTGGGGCAGGTATGCTGTGGATAGTTTGAGGGGAATAACCATAGGTAACAGGTAGATTTTAGTCTCCTGTGAAACAGCCAGATGAACCTTGTTAGTCTATGAAAAATGAAATGCTGGACTAAATTAGGACTTGACCTGATCAGCAGGGCTGTTCTTATATCATTTAGTAAAAGTTTATATCATTTAGCAACAAGGGCTTCAATTCACACACTGGAGACTAATTGTATGGCGGTGAAGTGAGTGGGGTGAGAAATGAATGTGACCTATAGGATAGTTGCATTTGCCAAATTCAGCTAAGGTGGTGTTGCTTTAAAATGGTTATGTAATAGCTATATTGTAGTGGGAAGAATTGAACGATACATATTTAGGTCAGACAGGTTTTTATGAATCAAAACTCTTTCAAACTATATGAGCTAAAAAGGGCCAAAAAGATATTACTAAAACACAGCATGCCATAACATGCATAACAGAAATATAGATATTAAGATACTGTTACTTTTCTTTGTAAATAAAATAGTGTGTGTGTGGATGAGTAGGTTGTAAAATTAACATTTATTGGGTTCATCACATGACAGATAAAGTAGAATAGCTTCAAAGTCAAATTTCTATTGGCCACTGGTAGCCATCCTTGATTTTAGCACTGGATTAAAAATCGGTTCTTTGAAGAAGTGAACATACATTTTAATACATGGACATGCATAAAATTACATAAAAGGTTTAGGATCATTTGTCCCCTTACTAATTGGAATTTTGCCTGGTTTGAAGCTTCTCTTTTGAGAAAACAAAAACAGGTGATCAAAATACAGATGCATTTCTTTATACACAGGTTTTATGACAGCTGAGGAAAAGATAATATTTGATGATCTTAAATCACCTCATCTTAAATATTGGATCCCTTTTGTTTGGTTTGGAAATTTGGCAGCCAAAGCAAGACAAAATGGAAGAATCAAAGATAGTGTGGACTTGCAAACATTGATGAATGTAAGTAAGCAGATGCAATGAACAATTGTGAAAAATATTTGAAAGCCAAAAATAGAATGCTCAATTTTTTAAAAAAATTCATCTACTCCATATAAATTATGTTTCCAATTTCCTTATCTCCATTTTTTCCACATTCTGAGACTTTCTATTCTTGTACTCCTATGCAAGGCTGCTCATAGATGAAAATGACACTGAAGGCAAGAATAATCTTCCAAAACTGCCCACTTCCCAACCTAAATGTTTTCACTGTACTGTATCTGAAGCTAGCTCCAGGCTTCAGGAAACACTAGGTAAAATGGCTGCTGGTGGCTTCTTGTTATTTCAAATATTTGGCTTCCAGTTGGCAGTTCTTTCTTATATCAGAAACATCTCAGAAACAATCAACAGACTATTACAGCAATGTAATATTATAGACCAGAAGCCAATTAAAACCCTCTAAAATGTCTTCAAAAACCAAAAGACCCAGTAGCCCAAGAAAAAAAAGGAGTTATCTACAACATATAGTGTGAGGACTGTAATAGCCACTCTGTAGGATAAACAGGCAGAAGATTTGCAGAGCACATCCCTGAACCCCAACTAGCAGTCAGAATGATGAAAACTCCTTAATTTCACAACACATGGACAAACTTAACCATTGTTTCAACTGGGAAACTGTGAGCATCCTTGACCAAGCTAAGTCCAAAAAATGCTAGAAAATTCTTGGAAGTCTGGCATGCAGATGAACTGGTCATCAACATAGAGATAAACAGTTTCTACATACCATTCAAAAGAGACAATCAAAAAGCCAAAAAGGAAACAAAAAGACAGAACATATCCTTTTCCGCAGCCAACATGCAAATAAGCAGGAGTTAACACCAGACAAACAATCTAGCAGAAACAATACCCTAATAAAGAACTATCAAGGATAAACCCACTCCTCCACCAACACTGGGAGGGCAACTACTGTATATAAGCATGGACCAAACTTCATACTTATTTGCACATATGTTAGGGTTATGAAGCATCTGTAAGCAAACAACTAAACTCGGAGATCAGCAAGGAATCATCAGTTTGGTATAGCAGTGAAGCACCAGGCTAGAAATCAGGAGACTGTAAATGCTAATCCGAATTTAAGCATAAAGCCAGATAGGTAACCTTGGGCCAGTGACTCTCAACCCTAGGAAAGAGGCAGTGGCAAACTATTTCCAAAGAAGTTGCTAAGTAAACTGCAGGTAACTATTCCAGGCAGTCATCAGGAACCAACATTGACTGGAAGGCACCAAACAAAAGTGTCATCAGAACACAGCCTCAGAATTCATTATATTACTTCCTGGCAAGTACCATCATATCTATAACAATTAATACATTGTGATAATCCTCAACAATACATCAATCGTTCTGTTGGTTTTTATTTTTCATTTAGGAGATGAATCGGTATCGATCATGGTGTAGCCTACTATTTGGTTATGACTGGGTTGGAATTCCTCTCGTGTACACACAGGTATAAAGTAAATACTTATATATTATTAAATATATCTGAGATTCATTGGGGTAAGGTGAAATCTTGAGTGCTGAAAACTTTAAATTCATATATAAATACTTTTATAAGCCTTGAAAACATTTATGTACCTCTCACTACTCTGATTTAGCTTTCTCTATTTTGGAGCATTCAAATCTCAATTCCATCATTTTCAGATACAGTATTAATGGCATCATAAGTGGCAGTGGTGGCTGATCCTAATGAGGTGCATGGTTGCAACACATCTAAAGAACCACAAATTGACAAACCTTGTTTATTTACTGCCAAGTACTGTGGAACCAAGGAATAAAATCAAAGACCTTCAGAAATAGAAGCATTTGGTATTGAATGGACCATCAAGATTTATAATTCATATCTTAAAAATATAGTATTTTGCATTTCTCCTCAATTTAGATTTCTCTAGATATTTCTTGTTACCCTTGTTGACCAGGAATTCTGGAAATTGTAGTACAGTACCACATAAGTACATCAGATTTGGGAAAGCAGGTCTTTGGATATACTATATAGAAAACATCCTATATTCACTGTTATATTCATAACTCTATCTCTGATTAAATTTTAATTCTTCTAGGTTGTCACCCTGGCTGTTTATACCTTCTTCTTCACATGCCTTATAGGGCGTCAGTTTTTGGATCCTGACCAAAGCATCCCAGGTCATGATTTAGATCTTTACATTCCTATCTTCACATTGTTACAGTTTTTCTTCTATGCAGGATGGCTTAAGGTAAACAATAATGTTTAAAAAAATGGAATTTTCTGCTAGTTTTCTTCAAAACCAGAACTCATGTGAATGAAAGTTTTCCTACATGAATGTGAATAAAAGTCTGCTAGAATTTTAATATTTTCTGGGAATCTGAGCTAACAATTTACTTAGCACCCATTGTCATGAGGCAAGAAATATTTCACAGTTGTACAATAGTGCTATAACAAAATGTGTGCACATTTTTTAAGAGCTAGCAAAGCTGTCTGGAATGTTTGTCTGCATAAGAGATCTTGACTGTCTCTGCATTGAACATATCTCTTACACATTAACACTAATGATAAGACACATTAAAGTATTTAGCATTTATAACACAGTGTTAGCTGTATATTGAGATCAAACCTCTCATGCATATTTATAGTACCTTGGTAAACTATCTGTCCATTATCAGGGGTGTAGATGTATTTAATTATTTATTCCTATGCCCATTATCATCGATACAGTTTCCCAGGTTTATATATAGCTTACTATAAGAACTGCAGAAACCATTCTGATATTCTGTGTAAGCAGTGCTTTTTTTGCACAAAAAAAAGGTGCCGGAACTCCCATCTTGTTAATCTTTTATTTAAAAAATTATATATTCAGTTCTTAACATAAATTTAATTTATTTAAGGCAAATGTTCCTAGTAAATTCCAAAGTTTTGTCCAATTCTTGTCTGGCAAATCTTGTCGACTCCTTTCCTTGCTGTTACTATCAATGGCCAAATGTCGTCCTCTGAGTAACCACAGATCAACGTACTTTGAAGGATCGAAAAGTCTCAGAGGTGGTCCGACATGTTTGATGAACAAAACTGCTGAAATTGTCTTAGTCTTCAATGAAGCTCTTGTTGGGGTGGCAATTAGATTCATCTGCGAAAACCCACATTCACATTCACTTGAAGAAATGGGAATGGTATTCAGAGTTCATATCAAATGCAACAATTTTTCTGGATATGTCTTTTCAAGAACGTATTCACGAAATTCACAAATCATTTGTCTTTCATTTAGTTGCAGTCTGATTGATAAGTTTCTAATTTCCACTTCTCCAAATGTCAGTTGAGTATTAACATCTTCAGGCCAACGTTTTTGATAAAGTACGCAAGACCAATACGCCAACTCATCATCAAGCAATCTTTTTTCAACTGACTCTTTCAATTTTGTATAAAATGTACTTGGGTCAATGGGAGGATCCTTTCTTGAATCTTTTTCATGAAGTAAAACTCCACAAAAGCGAAGATCATGTGCAGCAACAACAGCGCATTTATAATAGGGCCCAAAGTTCTGTCTTCTTTCTTCAAAAACTTGTACCAGTATTTTTATTTTCTTATTTGTCTTGTACAGGTCCATGTTGCGATCCTGTAGGTCTAAACTTAATTCTGATAATTCTTGGAGAGCGTCACACATCAATCCTAGGTCCAATAAAAATTCTGTAGATGTTATTTTTCTTTTCAAGCCATCATAAGTGCATTTTGAAGTGAGCTCAACTATTGCTTCCTATCTTTGCCAGAATAGGTTATCTCATTGTTGCTCCATTCTTTGGAAAGTTTCATTCCCATTTTCGTTTCAACTCCAAGAGTTCCAACTTTTCTACAAGGCGTACAGCCAAGTTTCATTTTGCAAACACAGAGCCATTCATTTTTCAAGCAAAAATCTTTTTTTTTATCATAGGTCCAGCACTCCAGCCAGTCATTTGTAGTTTGGCTTTGCTTCTCAGGAGCAGATTCAGAAATATCAACAGGCGTCGTTATTTTCATGTGTTCTATCATTGTGTCTGTTAATATTCTGGCCTTTTTATTAGCAGAACTGGTGGTTGAGAAGTAATTTTTTTTTTCATTTTTAAATTTGGAATCACACTTTTACACTAAAAATAAAAATAAAAAAAAAATCAGTTAGTCCTGCAATTATGCTTTTTTTAAAGTTTCCTAGTTTTTTTAGTAGTGCAAATTTAAATTAAAGAGATGCATGGAAGCTGACATTCATACTCTGAATTTTTTTTTACACATAACTTAAGTTATATTTCCAGTGCCTCTGCCCAGAGTTCCATTGTTTCTTTGAAAATATAATCTTAAAGGGCTCGCCATTGTGGTAGAAGATTTCTACTACTGCTCCAGGGTTTGGCTAACATAAATATGCATAGCATAATTAGATTTATTATTGCTGCTAATCAGTACAAAACATGAATGTACTTTCAAACATTTAAACCTGGTTTGTTTGGGGAATACCTATCACCTTTTCCATTTGAAATAACCAGTGTTTCAGCAGAGATGTATCTGATTTACTATCAAGTGTTCCTGCCAAAATAAGAACACTGAATTTATTGCAGATGGTTTGTAATTTCACCCTTGGGACATTCTTACTAATGCTGCATCTTAAAGATTTGAGCCAAGGTTAATTCATAATTGTCTTTAGTTTTCCTCATCTGTTTTTAGCTTAGATGAAGTAATGCATCTTTCAAGCATTCAGGCAACTAGAATTTGTTGTGAGCATCTCCTTAAATACAAACAGCTCATAAGCTTGACTTACCTATATTAGCAACCACATTATTGATGGCTTGTACATACCATTTTAAAGATATGATCACATTGGTTCAAGTGAATGAGATGCTCCTATAACCCAAAATGCATGCTATTAATTCATCCCTGCCAAAATAGTTGGTTATTTTCATCAGACTTAGTTCATGATGAGCTTAGAACACTAAGTTCTGTTTTATCAAATTAATCATGAAGACAGCATAGTAGGCTGCCACAGGGGTGAAAAATTGTGGGATAGCTCCCCCATGTTTATATACTGCAGGTGGGTATAGTAAAGATGGAATATTATTTTCTGTCTACTTGGAAAGTGATGTGTTGCACTTTAATAGAGGAGGAGACAACTTTTGCATATATAGTCTGACATATATTGAGTTCCTTTTGGAAGCACTAGCACTGGTAGATAATAGATATCTGTAATACAACATATATGTGTTTAATTGATGGAGTCATGTTACTGACAAGATAATGAATTGCAAAGAAATTGTGTTATATATATTCAACTTTGCCTTGATAATATAAACATTTTTGTTCAGTTGTTTCTTTTTTATTAACAAAGTTCATGAGATTATAAACTTGTTTAAAAATTAAAAAGCTACACAACCCTTAAGCTCTCTGTCTTGGAACTGGGTTTGTCTGAAACCAATAACACTTAATCCACGTTTTACCCACAAACATAGCAGATTCCACCCAAGGGTTCCCCTTGCAGCTCTTTCTAGACCCAGAATCTACAGGAAATGCTAATTCTCAAGTGTGCGTTAAGGGGGAGGCCACCCTTAAGGTACAGTATAAGAATTTTGCAGGCCCCCTAGACGTGTTGGTTGTGGGGGGGTGAGCGAACGAGTCTCATTGAACTCGATTGGTTTGAGGCCTTGGGAATACAAGTAACAGGGCTACATAAGTTGCAAACAGCGACCCTTGCAGATGTATGTAAGGAGTTTGCAGATGTGTTCAGTTCTGAACTAGGGTCCTACACAGGACCTCCAGTTTCACTAAAGCTAGATCCAACGGTACAGCCCATCAGGGTTAAACCTAGGAGAGTACCATTTGCTCTTAAGAGTAAGATTGACGCTGAACTGGACAAGTTGTTCCAGCAAGGCATTCTAGAGCCTGTAGATTCCAGCCCGTGGGAAACCCCCATTGTAATGCCTTTAAAGGCAAGCGGGGACATCCGGATTTGTGCTGACTACAAGTGCACACTAAACAAGGCCCTACAGCAACATGCTTATCCTGTGCCTGTAGTGAGCCACATTCTGGCTTCTCTCAAGGAGGGAAAATTTTTTGCTAA